TCCTGTTTTTATATCTAAAATTAAAATTTGGAAAAATCTAAACCAAACATTTCCTAAGGCCAGCTAGATTCTGTGAACAGTTTCACCTGCTGTTAAATAGAAAATTGTGTGGTTGCAGCAACAGCAGCACTAGAAGTGTCAAGAAACAGGYCCTGCCCTAACCCCTTAAACTGGGGGTTAAATCAATAAACCCACRCCTTGGCAAAGGTAACCCACTCTCCTTCTCCTGTTGCACTGCTCTCCACAKTGCAGGGCTCCAAGACAAACTAGCTGAACTAAGTATTTTGTGACCTTTCTACCTAGGTCCAGYTGGAAGTTCAGAGAAAATGGAGGCAGTGGTATTTAAGCAAACACTTGCGTCAGCAGCTCAGCACCTCAGCGAGTAACGGAGGAAGCGTCTTGACCCAAGAGATGCAGATGGTGAGGTCCAGCCCASCAGAGCACAGGAGAGAAACCCTCCAAAGGTCAAGTGTGCTTTAACACTGCACCTGAGGATACCTCCATGCTCAGATACACATGGTGAAGTCCCATGGACTGAGCTGTGAGTTCTGTGTGTGTACCCAAAAGCAGGACTTGGCTGTAGATCAACAGTTCTTGAAGCACATATGTTCGTGTATATCCTGTGCAGCACCACGGTTATTTTGCAAAGCAAAATGGGCCAAAATATTATGCTCTTCCTTGAGTTTCTGGCCACAGTAATTCGTGTTTCTTTCTACACCTGCTGCTATTTCTACCTTAAATGTGACCTTTTGCTTTTCATGTGGCTCTCCAACATATTCCAGGCTAAGCCAGGCTGGTGAGTTTTTGATGTTCTCTATTTCCTCTGCAGCAAAAGCTGGGAGGATATTCAATTTTATATGGTGAAGGTTATATGCCATCCTCTAACACAGTCCATGGTTTGAATTGCAAAGTTAATTAATCCCTAAAATTGATCAAGGTTCAAAGTTTTTCTGTTGTGGTGATGTATGATGGACACTGASAACATCAAGCATGGCTGAGCTCCAGTTTCCTCTCTGACTGCATATCCATTGCTCCAGTGACAGTGGCAGGTTCAAACAGCTTTTGTCCTTTGTCTCTTTAAACCTTGGAAACAATGGTGGTCCAATTTGGATATTTGTATCTTTTTGAAATGGTAAAAAAGCTATTACACCATATTCCAAGGGTGGCCAAAAAAACTTCAGTAGGATAGCTCATTCCTATTGTGTCTGTAGCTTTGTGACTTGACCAGCTTTTATTTGAAGGGAAGAAATGAAAGCTCTTGAGACACCTAAAACTCAATTGAACTGGACAGTAGGAGCTATCTTATGAAAAAGAATACCATAATGGCAACCAAAAAATTCTAAAGAGTCCACAGTCCCTCAGTGTACTGAAATCTGAAAGGCTGTGCACTGTAATATGCTGTCAAARCATATCTGAGCTATCACAGCTTTATGTTCTTAAGGACATAATTAAGCAAATTTCCCTGGTTTGAATGGGAAAGGGATAAAATAATTAATCTGACAAATGAAATCAAATCGCCTACTTGAGTTTGTATCCGCATTTCCTAGTTGGGGCCATTTTTGGCTGGGTTTCTTCAAGGGCAAAGATGATTGAACCGAAAGCAAATGGTGTTTATCACTTCTCCCTCCTCCCGATCACCGACAAGACATTGGCAAAACATGCATGGCATGTCAAATGCTGCCTGAGCAGCATTCCCCAACCCCTTCTGCCAAAACTGCTCCAGCGAGCTTTTCTTCACACCAAATACCTACATGGGAGGCTTCTGCCTTTTTATCAGAAGACAAACACGCAGAGAAGTTCARAGGATACATTCAAGATTAAATTACCTGCATCGAAGCAGGTTTTGGAGTGCTGTTAGCTCTGTTGGAAACTCTGAGATTCAGGAAAAAAAGTCTTCTTTTCTCTGGCAGTTCTGACAGCTCTCCCACACCCTCCCTGGTGCAGCAGGTGCTGCAGGCAGCAGCACACGGAGAGCAGCCAGGAGAGGAAGGGCACTCAGCAGCAGGGAGAGCTTCGTGGCTGCTCCAGCTTGCCTTGCCTTTGTTGTCTCATGCTGGTCACCCAGCAGTAGGAGAGTTGAACCTCTTTATGGCCAGGAAAAAGATAATGAGATGTAAAGCTGTAAACTGGCAAGTGATTCAAGGAAGAACTTTAAACTTACATTTTTGGAAAGAGCAAGATTTCAAGCTGGCTTTGTCCTTTAAAAGTCAGCCAAAACAAGTAGAAGGGAGAACAGAAGCAGGATCAGTCCCATGACCAAAGGAGAAGTGAAAGCCCCTCCATGAAGGTTGGAAGGAAAGACCTCACTTTTTGCTGACTCACCCAAGCCAAGCAGAGACTCTGAACTTCTCGGGGGTTCACTCTGTCCCAGTCCATTTAGCAAGTCAGCTACTTCCAAAAAAACATAAACTCAGTTTTCTCTCTGGCCTATGAATGAGAGCAAGAAGGGTGGAACAACTTGTATGYTCCCTGTCTGAGAATTAAACATTCATCCTTCAAGCCAAAGCAGCTGTTCGTTTTAAATGCAAGTGCCTCCTTCCAGCATAAATGAAGAAATACAGATTAAGAGATAAAATAACATGCAATTAATTAGATCTGATGCAATTATTGGCTCTCCCAGRAGCCAGTGTAAGAGCTCAACCCTGCAGTGCATAGTTAGGACCAGCACAAGATTGGGAGGAG